ATATGGCTTTGCTATCTATTAAGCACATGGCTTGAGCCTGGAAATGACCCAAATTATGCTATTTTAAAGGGCTGAAAATTATACCATTGAAAACATAAGAAGTGATTTATCTTTATCATTAAACTAGCATGTGAAATCAAAAAGAGCAAAGGCTTTTCTTTTAAGAGTTACAATGTATATCACCACACTGGGTTGTTTGCTTGCTTTGTATTTAGTGTTTATGTTTTACAATGTTGGGAATTGAATCTAAGACCTCATATAAACTAAGTGACCTTTGTCCTTCATATTCCATTTAAGATACAGTTGTGATTATTTATTTACTGAAGCAAGAGATGGACTATAAACCACAAGCTGTAAATTTAAGGCATGTCTATCTGACAGCTTGTCCTATGAAGTTCTGTTTTTTGGGGGGTGACACTCGCACACACTAAAAACACTGAACCACACAAAAAGCACTGGTTTTTTTATTCTTAAAGAATTCATTTCTAGAAAAGAGTGTACTGCTGTAACAGACCAACCACCCATACTTGCTACTTACAGTATCCAAGGCATCTTCCCAGATGACTACATTGTGCGGCCTAGGCACAGAAAGCTACTGACTAGACTAGGACACACTGGCTTAGCACTTAGGGGACCAGAAGTCCCAGATCATCTTCAGCTGCACAGTAAGTCTGAGACTAGTCTAAGCCATGAGAGACCCTGTCAGAAAAAACCTACAATGACAAACAACCCACAACAGCTATGACTGATTAAGTTGGTACAAGCCTAAGAGAACACAATGAAGAATGGTTAAGTCCTATTGCTTGGGAGAACACCGACACCATCTCCTGGAGGAGATCATCACGTAACAGAAAGACAGGAGTGAGGTTAAGGAAGATCTTAACAAACACGTTGAGGAGTTGGAATTTTATCTGAGGAAAACAGGGCCACTCTTTGATGTACTATAAAAATGACTTTAGAAGACATTTCTTGCAGATTGATAGGCAGGATGCCCTGAAATCCAGAGGCTGGAAACAGTAAGGGTGAAGAGAACACACTCAGATCTTTGGGATAGTTCCCTGGATGCAGCAGGCATTCAAAATTCTGCAGGTTGTTCCAAAAGCCAAATGTTATACAGGACAACATCTATCTTGGTACTACCAAATGCCAAACTAAACTTGTTGTGTAACAAGTTATCACTATGTAGCCTAGGAGAATCTCATATACAAAATCTTTCTGCTTCTGCTTCCTGAGTGCTGGAGTTACAGATATGTAACATTAACACAAGCACCTAACTAATTTTATATGGCAATTTATATAAAAAGAGAAAAGTTAGCTCTTAAAGATTAGTATTTATTATTGCACAGTAAGGTACCAACAGGTAACAATGTTTTATAAGAATTAGAAGAAAGGGTTTTACATGTTTTCACCATAAATGGCAAATGTCCAACATTATACAATGTATAAATGTGTTGAAACATCATGTGTTGTAACTGCATGTGTAATTTTTATGTTTCTATATATCAATTAAAACTCAAAATATATTTTAACTGTTACTGTAGAGTTTATAGAAAAGAAAGTATGTAGCTTTATAGAGAGAAGTATTCACACTTTTCTGTCTTCTTACAATTTCTTACATAGCTTAAATCCAATGAAGACAAAATTAAGAAACAATTAAGCTACAGATGGTAGAGCACTTGCTTAATATGCAGTACTTAGTTTCAATTCCCAGCAGTGAAAATAAGTACAAAGTTAAGATAATACTTTAATATTATTCCACCTCATAACTACCACCCCAAATGGATGTTTTAGACCCTTTTAAAACCCATTATTTGGCATAAAAGGTAACTACTAGAGGTTTTAGAAGTATGATTATTTTTAGAATTTCTAATCTTAACATATAGCAATAACTCTGAAAACTACAGATAATTCATAATTTATAAGCTCCACAGTGACTTCTCATTGTAATTATGAGTAACCAATTTTAAAAAAATATTCTAGAATTAAGACATTAATAAATCAGGTAATGTCAGCCAAAACACAAGCAGTTGAAAAACATTTTATATTACTAACCTGTGATGGTACATTGTTTATATCTAATAAAGCGTGCCTGAAGATCAGAATGCAAAGCTAGCCACAGCCATAGAGGCCAGGCAGTGGTGGTGCACGCCTTTAATCCCTGCATTAGAGAGGCATAGAAGACAGGAGCTCAGGGTCTCATTCGGGTATTCAGTATTTAGTCTTCAGCATTCTGTCTCCAGCCACACTGAGGACTACTCGTGGAGACAGGATCGCCCTTTCAGTCTGAGGTAAGAGCTAGTGGCTGGCTGTTTTGTTTTCCTGATCTTCACCTTGAAGCTTGAGCCCAGAATCTGTCTCTGGGTTTTTATTATTCATACTACACTAACGAGTGCTCCATTACCACATTTTTATTTCAGCCTTCATTAGTGTAAATACATCTATAGTATGAGAAAGTATGCTGCGTGGGTTAACACTGGAGCACGACACTGGAGCATGGCATTTTCATTTTATTAAATCATAAAAACCACCAGGCGATACTGGAGCATGCCTTTAATCCCAGCACTTAGGAGGCAGAGGCAGGTGGATCTCTGTGAGTTCAATGCCAGCTTGGTCTACAGAACTAGTTCCAGAACAGCTAAGGCTATTACACAGACAAACCCTGTCTCAAAACACCAAAAACCAAAAAACAGAACCATCAAAACCAATTTTGAGCACTGATGTTCATATGAGTATTACTTAACCTTTTTCTTGGGATGTATCTTGCCCCTTGCTTCTCCCTGCAAGCCATGGTACTATATGCACCAGAAATGTGTGTGTGTGTTATATTGACTTTTGCTTAAGAGTTGTTCATTATGTCACTATTATTTTCCCTACCAGGATAAAAATTTTACTATTTTAGTCAGGTTATCCCTGAACCAATATGAAAATATTTTATGCATAGGTTAGGACATTATGTTCTTTACATACTAAGTCTAAAGAAAGAGCTATAGGTAAAATATTTATGGCTTACAATAATAAATGTTTTTCAAACATTATTGTGTGTACACACGTGTGTTTATATATACACAGTAATATATAATAAACATTATATAATACACAAACATATATACACACATACATACACACACACACACACACACATATGTATGTATGCATGTGAGTATGCATGGAGACCAGAGGTTGACATCTGGCATTTTCCTTTATTGCTCTCCATATTACTTTTGAGACAGACACTGCCTGGAAACTGACAGACAGCTGACCAGAAAGTTCCAGCTCTAGGAATGCTCATGTTTTAGTTAGTGTTCGAGTATTGCACACCAGGCTTTCATCAGGGCTCTGGGGACCCACAAGGTCCCCGTGCTTACAGGGCAGGCGTTTGTCAACTGAGCATCTCCAGCCCAGACAACAGTTTTACCTTATAAAAGTATGATCAATAAACAGTCTGAGAAAAATGGAGCCAAGAAGGCTAGGGATGCAGCTCCGTTAGCAGAGTGATTACCTAAGATGCATGGTGCCCTGGGTTCCATCCCCAGCACTGCATAAACCTAGCACTGCATAAACCTAGCACTGCATAAACCTAGCACGACAGAGGGCGCCTGTATCCCATCCCATCCTCCCCCCCCCACTCCGGATATGGGGGCAGGGAATCTGGTGTTCAGTGGCTTTGGCTATAACATGAGGGAGGGGTCAGGTTATTACAGACTGCTTTTAAAAAATGAAGAACAAATAGTTATCATTAGAAAATCTGTTTTAAGGGGGCTGGAGAGGTGGCTCAGAGGTTAAGAGTACTAACTGCTCTTCCGGAGGTCTTGAGTTCAATTCCCAGCAACCACATGGTGGCTCACAACCATATACAACTCAGTCTGGTGTATATGTAATAAATAAATAAATCTTAAAAAAAAAAAGAAAATCTGTTTTAAAAAGTCATACCTGAGACAACCCCAAACTGGGGTTATCTGCCCCAATGAATGAATGAAGCACACACAGGGTACATCGAGATGTCTCAGCAGGTAAATGAATGACTGAAGCATAGGCACATCCAGATGTCTCAGCAGGTAAAAGGCATTTACCACCAGGCCTAAAGCCCTGAGTTCCACCCCTGGAACACATATAGTAGGAGGGGAGAACCTTCCCCCCCAAGCTTTTTTTTGCATGTGTGTGTGTGTGTGTGTGTGTGTGTGTGTGTGTGTGTGTGTGTGTACAATAAGAGGTACTGTAAGTAGACCTTTTCTTTAAAAATCAGTCATTTTTATATGATATTAAACCAATTACATATCCTATATGAAATTTTTAGAAATTGTTTGTAATTTTTATCGAAAAATATAAACTCGTAGGCTGAAGAAGTTCATCAGTAAAGGAGCACCAATTATCATACATGCACACTCCAGCAAATCGATCAGTAACAGAGTCCGGGTCTGATCTGAATCTGACCACTAATATCACACATGCGCACGAGGCACAATTACAGATAACCAGCAAACTGTCTCATTGGGTTAATGTGGTAAAGACATAACTGCAACAATATTCTACAAAAAGATACACTTCTAGAAGCAGGACACAGGGAAAACAGGATCCTATCAGCAAAATCGGCACCTCCCCGAACCACGGTTCCTCCAAGAACATAAGTCTGAGTTTACAGGACATAAGGGTTCATTCAAACTAAGTGAAAGAATAAATCCATCAGATAAAATTCAGTCTCGGGGCTGGAGAGATGGCTCAGTGGTTAAGAGCACAGACTGCTCTTCCAGAGAGTCCAGGTTTAATTCCCAGCACCCACACGGCAGCTCCCAACTGTCTGCAATTCCAGTTCCAGGGGACCCAACACCCATGGCAAAACATCAATGGATATAATAAATAAATAACCGGTAAATTAAAAACAAATCAGTCTGAAGGCTTCCAAGGATTTTCTTTCTTTCTTTTTATAAAATAAACTGTTGAACTCTGAGGGTTAGGAACCAAAACAGCGATCACAATCAGGCAGGTTAAAGCGCGTGACTTACAGAGCACGGCCACAGCCCCGGACTCGAACATGAGACATTCTTCCTTGTGCCGAGTTTCCACCATGAGGCTGAAGGGCGGGGGGTCCAGCTTGTGGTAGACTCGGAACCCTTTGCTGAACGCCATTCTCCTTTCCTGGGAGGCAGCCCTGTGGAAGCCGAGCCGAGTCAAGCAGGGGGACGGCTAGGACAAGCCCCGTGGTCCCTCCCCGCCGAGCCTGACCTGACCGGGGTGTGGGTGGGGGTGGAGGCAGAGACGGGGACACCCGGGGCGCGCCACCACGTTTCTTAACCCAAAGGGCAAAAGGAAACGGCTCCCAAGGCTCAAGCCACGGCCCGGCCGGGCAGGGTTTGTGAGCTCTGCCGGCCCCGGTGCGGGCGGAGGTGGAAGTCCCCGTTTGCGTGCGCCCGCGGGGAGACCCGGGCGCGAGTCTCCCGTTGGGGCTGCGCAGCGGCTTCCTGCCCCACGGGCGGCCACGGCGGGGAGGCTGCGGGCTCCTCGGTCTCTCTCCGTCTCTATCTCTCTCCGTCTCTATCTCTCTCTCTCTCCCTCTGCCTTGGGGGTCGGGGCCGGGCGGCGGCGGAGGGCAGGGGCAGCCCCACCGCGCAGGTGACCTCCGCCTCCCGCCGCGGCGACGAACCGACCGATCGCTCCCCCCCGCGGCGGCGGCGGCAGGGGTCCCGGGGTAGCCGGGGAAACGGAGGCAGCGGGCAGCCCGGCGCCTCCATTAGGCGCCTGGAGAGACGGCCCGCAGCCTGTGCTGACTGGGCTCTTTCCCGCCCGCGGGGTGACAGCCGCTGTCACCGCGGCGCCCGCCGCCCGCGGTCTCCTCACCGCCCGCCGCCCGCGCCCCGCGGCCGCCGCCTCTCACCGCTCGCGTCCCCGCTGCGACCCCCGCCGCCGCTGCCGCCGCCGCCGCCGCCGATGAGGAAGCGTCCACCCGCCCGGCCGGCCGGCTGCGGCAGGATCTAGCCGCGGCCGCTCCCCGCCGGCCGCCTCACCTCTTCCTCCGGCTCCTCCTCCTCCTCCTCCTCCGCCTCCCGCAGCCGCCGCCGCCGCCACAGCCACCCCAAGCGTCACTTCCGCTCCAGCAGGCCCAGCTCTTCCGCATTGCGCTGCGGCCCGGGGGGCGGAAGCACCGCCCCTTGGGGGAGGGGAAGGGGCGGGGCTGTCTCCGCCCACGCGGGGGCCGTTCGGCCCGGCCCGGAGCCTGCGAAGCCACCTCGGTCCAGCAGCCAGCGCCACCGGGTCCGTGACGCCTTAGCCAACGCGGGAGCGGACGGATCGCACGGCCGGGGGCTGCCGGCACAGAGAGGGTCGGGCCTCCGCGCGTGGAGTGCCCGAGTCGGGATCGGGACCTCCCCCCGCCGCCTCCGCGGACCCAGCGGGAGGGCGGGGGGAGGAGGGCCGCGCACTGCTGCCAGCCGCTCGGGGTGCCCGGAGAGCTGTCCATGGTGCCTGGCGTCGGGGAGGCAGCGGGAGGCTGTCCCCGTGGTGCGTCCTTGCAGCTCCAGGGGCTCCGCTCCCTGCAGCGAGGGGATCAGCAGCCAGGAGCTCCAGCCGGTTCAACAAAACATGGCTGTCACCGTGGGGTTCTATAAGTAAGGGCAAGGGCGTCACACTGTTTCATACCATTTTTTTTTATTTTTTATTTCTCAACGCAACGTGCCTATGATTTGTGTCCGGCAGAATTATTCTGCTTCTATTTAAGAGACCAAAATGGAAGAAAGAAGTAGTTAATAGGGCCTTTAAAAGGAACTGAAAACCCGAGGAACTCAGCATTCATATTTCCACTTACTTTTTCCTAGCCTCTTCCCCTTTTTGCAACCCCCTTCCCCCCAAGCACATTACGATGCGTTGCACAAAATCATTTCCTCTAACAGGCTCTATCATATGACTCATTATTTCTTCATTTTATCGACAGATTCACCCTGGTTTCAGAATACTAATTAACAAACTAAGCATAAGCCACCTCTAGTAAAGGAAAAACACTTGGATTTAGTTCTGAGATCTTTTCACTTAGTAGTTTCCTTAGAAAAACTTTTGCTGTGGTTACAGTAACCACAAGCTTACACTGATAGTTAAAGTGCTTAGGTGAACTGTGGTTAGTCATTTTCCTTTCAAGAAGTGTCCATTTAAGTTGGGGGACATCTGAAAAGTGGAGCAAGTGAGAACGAGGTGCCTGTAAATGATATGCACCAACAAAAACGGGCTCAGAAGAGTTACTGTAGTACCTTGGAGGTGACATTTGTTTTTTGAGATGGAGCCCAGGCTGGTGTGCCGCCATGCCTGGCCAATGTGATAAGGGTTAGAGTTAGAGTTAGGGTGATAAGGACTGAACCCAGGACATCATGCATACCTCACAGGCATTCTACAGAGTGAGGGCATTCTGGGCCCCCAGGAGTGCATGGTTTTTGACACCTGAAATTACAGTTCAGGTTGAGACTTTCTGCCTCAAGGATCTTGTCAGGTCTACCACAGCCCTTTCTCGAGGTGGGAATCATGGTGCTAGGCTCTTTCTTTTTATTATTATTATTTAAATAGAAACAAGCTTGCTTCACATGTCAATCCCAGCTCCCTCTCCCTCCCCCACCCCTACCAGCCCCACCAACCCCCCCACCCAATCCCACTCTGCTCCCCAGGGAGGGTGAGGTCCTCCATGGAGGATCTCCAAAGTCTGTCATATCATCTGGGGCAGGGCCTAGGCCCTCCCCCATGTGTCCAGGTTGAGAGAGCATCCCTCCACGTGGAATGGGCTCCCAAAGTGCATTTGTATGCCAAGCATAAATACTGATCTACTACCTGAGGACTCCTTACTGACACCCAGATTTAGGGGCTCTGGGTAAGTTCCATGGTGGCCTCTCAGCCATCAGTCTGGGGTCCATGAGCGCCTCCTTATTCAGGTCAGCTGTTTCTCTGGGTTTCACCAGCCCAGTCTTGACCCCTTTGCTCATTATCCCTGTCACTGGGTTCCAGTTCAGCTCAGTGTTTAGCTGTGGGTGTCTGCCTCTGCTTCCATCAGCCACTGGATGAAGACTCTAGGATGGCATATAAGGTAGTCATCATTCTCATTATCCGGGAAGGGCATTTAAGGTAGCCTCTCCACTATTGCTTAGATTGCCAGTTGGTGTCATCCTTGTAGATGTCTGGAAATCTCACTAGTGGTTAGTAGTCTCCTCAAACCTATAATGACTACCTCTATTATGGTATCTCCCATCCTGCTCTCTATTTTTCCCCTGACTCAACTTTCCTAGTCCCCCAAGTCCTCTTCTCCCCTTTTCTGTAAGGCAAAAGACAGTCAGCAAGACAAAAAGGCAGCCCACAGAATGGGAAAATATACTCACTAACCCCACATCTGACAGAGGGCTGTTCTCCAAAATTTACAAAGAATCCAAGAAGCAAGTCTCCAAAACACCAAAGGATCCAATTAAAAAGTGGGGTACAGAACTAAATAGAGAATTCTCAATAGAATAGTCCAAAATGGGGGAAAGACACTTTAAAAAGTGCACAGCATCCTGCCAGGTGGTGGTGGCGCACGCCTTTAATCCCAGCACTTGGGAGGCAGAGGCAGGCGGATCTCTGTGAGTTCGAGGCCGGGCTGGACAGACAGCCTCCAAAACAATACAGAGAAACCCTGTCTCATAAAACAAAAAAAACAAAAATGCACAGCATCCTTAGTCATCAGGGAAATGCAAATCAAAACAACTCTGAGATACCACCTTATACCAGTTAGAATAGCTAAAATCAAAAACACGAATGACAGTTTATGCTGGAGAGGATGTGGAGAAAGGGGAACACTCCTCCACTGCTGGTGGGAGTGCCAACTCATACAGCCACTTTGGAAATCAGTATGGAGATTCCTCAGAAAAATGGGAATCAGTCCACCACAATTCCACTTAGGCATATACCCAAAAGATTCACATTCATACAAGGGCATCTGTTCCACTATGCTCATAACAGCATTACTTGTAATAGCCAGAACCTGGAAGCAACCTAGATGATGCCCCTCAAGTTAAGATTGGATAGAGAAAATGTGGTACATTTACACAATGGAGTACTACTCAGTGGAAAAAAAACAATGGAATCTTGAAATTCACAGGCAAATGGATGGAACTGGAAGAAACCATATATGGATTTTAGACATGGAGTAAGGGAGTGCCAGCCTACAATCCCACCATCAGAGAGTCTGGGAAATGGGGAGAACCCTAAAAGAAATATGCATGGTACCCCAGAGAAGGGGAATGGGACAGGATCTCCTAAGAAGATTGGGAGCATGGAGGGGGGGGAGGAAGGAGGGCACTAGGCTCTTCCTAAAGCAAGCTTTCCTTCTATGTGTTCAAAATCTAGGCTACAATTTCTTTCTCAGATTAAACTGGAAAGCTTTCCCAAATCCTTTCAATTTTTTTTTTTGGTTTTTCGAGACAGGGTTTCTCCGGAGCTTTGGAGGCTGTCCTGGAACTCTCTCTGTAGACCAGGCCTGCCTCTGCCTCCCGAGTGCTGGGATTAAAGGCGTGCGCCACCAACGCCGGCCTCAAAATATTTTTAATCACAAAATAAGCCCAGGATTTGAAAAATGTTAACTAGTGACCTTTAAACAGTCACTCTTATGGTCCCTTTCCTATTACTGTTACAGCATTCCCAAACAGTTGTACACATTTTTAGTGAACTGTGTCTTTATGGTAGGCTATCTTAAAATGCTTCGTTGGTATAGACATAGTCTCAAGGTTTGCAGAGAAGCCAATGCTTTCACTTTGAAAATGAGCAATGAGTGAGGCTTGCGACAATGTCAAAATATTCACCCCGATACTTGAAGCCAGCAAATGGCAGATGACTGGGGCAAAGAAGTAGTCCGAGGTTTTGGATATTTAGTAGATCACTGAGGATATGCAGGAGTCCTACATGAAATCACAAGTACCCTTACAAAGGAGGCAGAAGTAGTCCGAGGTTTTGGATATTCAGTAGATCACTGAGGGTATGCAGGAATCCTACATGAAATCACAAGTACCCTTACAAAGGGGCAGAAGAGAATCAGATATTCATGAAATGACATAAGGACAAACGGCAGACTGGAAAATGGACAAGCCAAGGGTGAGAAGCTTCCTAGGACACATGGTCCTGGTGACACTTCCAATTTCTGACCTCCAGCACTCAAGAGGGCAGTTGTATTAAGGCACTCAGCTAGTGCTGACACTGTTACAGCAACTGAGGATTCCTATTTAGTGTCCTCTCCTCATTCAGGAGTGACGAACTGCTTGAGACATAAAGACTATTGCTTTACACGCAGTTCTGTCTACGTTCACCTCACTAAAGAGTCCCTGGAGAGGGCTCAAGCCTATTCCAAAAAGCTGGATACAAAGTCTCAGGGCTCATCTAAGAGTTACTAAAAACATACAAGAATGGCTTGTCTGACAGCTTGGAGACAAGTAGTTTTAAGGCCCAAATACCTATGTGTTTGTTTTAATTCACTGACATTGAGAATGAGTGTTATAAATTTTAATTCCATTCAGGAGCCCACATAGGCATAAGAAAAAATTCGCTCAGAGTGACTATGTGGAGCTAAGACATGCTCCTGCAAACGACAGTATTGATGGAGAAAGGGCTTGACACTGTACTATGCAACTATCTGGCTTTAAGAGTACGCACTGGCCTGCTAACAGCCTCATGTATGAATCATCTGAAATACTCTCAACTTCGTCACCAGCAAAATACAACCAAGGATGTATTTAAAAATTAATTTAATGCTTGGCTAAAGCTTAATTACACATAATTATCAAACAATAGTCCTTAATTTCTGAAAAGTTCCTCTTTTGAAAACCAGAATCAGAAAGCATTAACTTTAAAACAAGTTTGAGTATTTACAAAGTGGTATAAACATTACAGAAGACCACCAAGAGTAAACTGCCTGGGTGCGTCTAGACAGCAAGGCATATTCTTTATTGCATATATAACTCACATGAGGGATTTAAAATATGATGGACGACAGAAACTCATGTATCTGTAAGCTGGGCAGAGAGTAAAATCATGAATGAGAAAGGACAGTCAGCTAAACCATGCAGTAAGTTTGTGGGCTTATTGCCAAAAATGAACTGATGTCCCACCCCAAACTCTACTGTACGCATCATCTAG